CTAATTAAAGGATTTATATTTAATATTTTCTATCATTTAATTAATATTGTACTCTTAAGAAAAATTAATAAAACAACTTTTATATTGATCTACAATAATACACGACTTACCTTACGTATCCTAGAAATTAAAATAGAAGCTATTCTAATAGTAATAATAATATATGCTACTATATTGATTAACATTTTGACTTTCCTTCCAAAAAGAATTTTTTTAACTTTTTCAGGGATAAATTTTACTTGGCCATATTTTCAAATTATCGATTTTAAAATATTTTTAACTTGCATATAAAAACAGAAATATATAAATCTTTCTTTTAGTAAATAAGAAAATGTTGCTTTTAATTGGTTTTTAACTATAATTAATAACTTTCGTTTTGCAAATATAATCAATAATAAGATCTCTATTGTCACAATAAATTTCTATATAATAAATTTATGAATTTGAGCTTCTTAAAGCTTGTTGCTTATAATTAATGAAGTAATCAAATAATTTTCTAGTATCACACATTAAATTGAATTATTTCCATTTCATTATCCCCATACCATATTATATGATAATAAATATACTATATAATAAATTCATATAAAATAACACAAAACGAAGCAGCATATAATATAAACAGAAAAAGCATTTCTGAAGCTACAAAAAGATTATGCGTCTTTCGAGATACATTGATATCAATAGCAAGGATACTATATTATATAATATTAAAAAAAATTATATTAAAAAAAAATTATATTAATATAGATTGAAATTTTACTCAAACAATTATCTTAATACAGTTTGTTCTGAATGTAATTGTATCTATCGCAAAATCATGCGTTGTTTTAAACCATGAATAATACAAAGCAATTAAGAATTTCAAAAGTTGCCATAAAAACTTTTAATACACACCCTATTTCGTTGGCTGGCTGATTATTATTATTGGCCGATCCATCACTCACGTTGTTGTTAATCGTGTTGGAATCATTAGTCTGCTGTAGCGATTGACATGTACTCAATAAAGAACTCCACTGCCTCATCACTTCCTCACCTTGGGCTTCCAATTCGGACAGGATTGTAGCATTATCCATATCTTGCAACGGCTTGCTCGTCTCCACTCTGAAATACATAATGATACTTAATAATTCTACTATAATAATAATAATAATTCTAAATCTACTTCAATAATAATAATAATAATTCTACTTTTGTAAATTCCATTTATAAATGTAATAATTTTCTAATAAATGTAATGAGTCAATATACAGAGTGCATCATCTTACATTTCTACACGAATTAATTCATTAGATTCATGAAAATAACATAGAGACAAGCTATTTGTTTCAATAGATCAAACAAGATTATTAACAATTTGTTACAAAAACAGTACGAAAAGAATTTATAAAATTATTATTATTATACAATTGTAAGTTTCACATCTACATACAAAACTACTCGAGAAAAGCTATCTTTGGCTTTCTTTTAGAATGATATCTACATACAAAACTACTCGAGAAAAGCTATCTTTGGCTTTCTTTTAGAATGATATCGTTTCCATAAACCAATGATTGAAACTGTCATATTTTCTTATATTATTAACAATAACAGGCTCACTGAAAACATACAAGTAGATGAGACACTCTATACTATCTGTGTAAAAATGTATAAATGTAAGCAATATATATGTATAGAATAAAATACCAACCGATGTTGATTTTCTTCGTAAGAGCTTGCATCGCTGTGTTCATAATCCAATATCAAATCATCAGAAGCAATAGATTCGCAAGGAGATAAAGTGTCGACACTGCCAGCTCGACTTATTCGTTTGACGTGGTGAGGACTATTAGTTGCATGTTTTCCATGTCCTGCGCCTGAAAGAGATAATAGCTTGTTAATATTTATCACATTGAGTACGATTAAAGATAATAAAAATGATACATTCGTTTAAAATAATTCAACTAAAATTGTATTGGATCATATTACTTATGGATAAATCACGTTAAATTATAATACATGTACTTTCAAAGATTACAAGTATACAAGAAAATTATTACATTAAGTCATAAATCCGTACAAATAATATTAAATTTATTAAATGTTCAATACAAAAGAGGTGAAAAAGTTGATGATGAAAAGTAATGATAATGATAAAATAAAAAGAAGGATAAAATGCAAGAATATGAAAAAAATATAAAAGATACATAAATCATCATGGTAAATTTGCAGAACAGAATAAAATTCCGAAACAAGCATATATGATTGACTTATGTCGTCGCGTTTGCATCAAACAGTTCAAACATTTACCTGTTTTAGGACTGGACTCGACCAGGGTGTGACTGTTCTCTGTGACAGCTTGACTAGTCACAGCGGATTGCGTTTCGGCGCCAGCCCTCGAATTGTCGTCGAAAACAAGCCCTGGTTGATCAGCGATCTCGTCGTCAAAGTATTCTCTGCCTTCCGACAAGCTTAGCGAATTCGAGGCGTTCGTCGGCGTGCCAGGGCTATCGTCGTCTATGCCAGTCCCAGATTGTTCCATCGCGTGTTCCTTCTTCGGAGCTTTTGTATCCGACTGAGTAATACTGGCTGTAAGACTGTCGAAAAGACTATCGACGGGCGAGGTCTCGTCGTCTATCAGGGTGGTCGAGGTAGCCGCGGCAGCGGCGAACGCGGGATCTTCGATGGTAAGAAGTACAGAGCGCAGAGTAGATTTTGGGAGTGTTCCAGACTTGGACATGCTCGACGAACTTTGCATGTGTTGCACGGAGCTGGAGCGTTGACACTCGTCGCTCGAGCTTAACGAGTACTCGTCAGCCATAGCTTCGCCGTGGCCGTATTCAGGATCATCGGAACTCGGCGGGCTGAAGTCTGACTTAATAGAAGGAATCTTCTCGGAATGTGATCTGTCTTTGTAAACTTTCTCCTCGCCTAATCCTTCGTCGTAGCCCTCCGAGGAGGTGGTAGACATGGAGGTCGTAGACTCGGTGTACCTATTGTCCTTATTCACGATCCTTTGATACTGCGTGGCTCTCTCGCGTACCAGCCCGGTGTTGGCTGTGGTGAAGGTTTTTGGCAAAGGTGTAACAGATATCTCGGTAACCGTACTGTCGTCGTCTCTAACATCCCTCACGTCGAAACTTTTCCCGTTTACGACCATCCTCAAGTTCCTCGGTCTACCTATGCCGCGCCTTCTCGTTAACGATCCATCCGTATAATCCACGCCCCTCAAATCGCTATCACCGACGCAACCTTGCTGACTTCCGATACCGGAATCCTCGGTGCTCGAGCCCTCCTTCGAGCTGGTCGAGCTCTTTGACGCCGCGGACACTTTTCTGCTTTGATTCGCCGCGGTTTTCGCGATCTTCGAGTTCGCATCGGTCATTCTTACGGCGTACTGAGGTAGAGGCAGGTGACTCGCGTGCAGAGTATACCTGCCGATTGGCTCTGGAATGCCTGATACCCTGCGGTTCGCATCCATATGCGTGGCATTGGCATTATTGTACGAAACGGTATTGTGTACCGGCGACGATTTCACTTTTATCGGTTGCGCCACGCTCGGAACCTGCGCCACCCTGTGCGACTGCTGCTTGACGAAAGCCTCTTGCTGCTGGCATTGTTGCAGTTTCTCCTGATTGTAATGGCTCACGCTGTGACTGCTGCAAATGTCGCTGACTTTGTTCGTGAACTTCGGCTGGGACTGCCGGTATCCAAATCGATTCGTTCGAACGGCGATTCCACTGGATTCTTTCTTCGGTGGCGCGAGCCGCGGTGTCGATCGGCCGGACGACGAATTGTGGATGATGTTGCTGGTCTCATCGTCCATCCGTCTGCGATTCTGTTCTGGACCGGCCGATTTCGATCGTGGATGGAGGAGGCTCGACTCGGTGGTATAGTTGGTTATCGGCATCGGTATCCCGGAGCCTGGTCTTCGTCGAAAACCGAAGGACATTGCCGTGCCACGCGTGTGCGAGCTGCCACGCTTCGACGCGCCCTTATGCTCGTTCTGAAACATCAGCAGAGAAAAGTACTCGAGAGTAAGAACGTCAAGAATCTGGAGAATCTTTCGGCAACGCGTCTATAGATACTCTTTAGCTACTTTCTCTCTCCGGGAGAGGTTTAGAGATCGATAAAACGGACGCCTTTTTACGCAGCTGTTTACACCACGTTATTTTTGCTTGTTACAGCCTCGCGAGAAAATAGCTACTTACTTACTACGTTACGATATTAGATAATGCAAAATACGCACGATTACGAATTCATCTTCAGGCCCGAGGTCAAGTGACGACTTGGCTTTCCAATGATTATTATCTTTCGCTGTTGCATACATTACGTTACGTAACAAACGTGATAAATGTAACAAAGGTACAAAGAAATATGTGAACAGCAAAAGTGAAGGATGGATTGATAGTTAGAATTTCTATTTTAAGTAAGTAGGATATACAATACGAAAGATTGGTCAACGTTAATCGATAGTAATTTTCACTTTGTGAAATAATCTTCTAGTTGAAAATCCCAATATTTTCGTTTCAGATATTCTGGTGGAAGGTAAGTTCGCTTGCATCGAACGATTGCTTCGGAATAATTTTCATTCGTTTAAACACCTGTACTGGCGATACATTAATCGTACACTAAAATGCATATAAAATTTTAAAAATGAATAAACAAGGAAGTTTCAATTTTACATTTCTCTTTTATTTATAAAACATACATTCTCTTAAGATAAGATCTCTGTCCCCTTGGTATCGCAATGTTTTGTATTATCAATTCTTTTTATTAACAAAAAAATAATGGAAACACAAATACGACATATATATATCAGGATTTGTAAGAACGAAATTCCTTACTTGCAGAATACTTCAATTTACGTCAAGCAAGTTGCCATTCTCATTTTCAAATTGAATATGCATTTGTCAATCACACGTTCAATCTCGAATTGTACAATACTTTCTACTTTCCTATAAGTATACATTTTGATAAAATTTGTAACTGTAATCAATATAAAATTGCAATCAGATATAAAACGCGTGATGTATTTCCTTTTTTAAAAGTGATTCACAATTTGATAACTACGTAAATACGCGTGATGCGTACTTCCTTTCTAAAAATAATGATTCACAATTTGATAACTAAACACACCAGCAATAAAGAAATAAATCACGACAGACAAGTGCGTGAAACGTTAAAAAATTAATGAACTAATGTATGTACAGCGATGCTACGATATATTGATGATCACACTGCGCCAGGTAATGTCGCAGAGAAACTAAAAGTTCGAAAACACGAGGTAACCCGATTTAAACTCCAGAAATAGAGCAACTGCGTCCCGAAAATCAAACGAACTTCTCTTCACATTTCGTATTATTATTGTTCTACATTGAGTCGCAGAGTCTAAATTTCTCCTAATTGTAGGGAAATAAGCATATGACGTCGACGTTCAATTTTTTCCGCGCATCGAGAAAGCTCGAATCAAATACACTCGACGATCGTAAGGAAATTTCTTATGTAATTAATTAAACGAGTGTTACACTCGGTCAAGTGACTACATCGTCGTTAAATTAAGGGTCGTTTTGTCCGTGTAAGAAATGTCGACACGTGATGTCGTTCACGTGAAAATTCTTTACAAACCGACTCCGCATCGACTGAGCGGTTACTTGCCATTTGTCATATTGTTTTGGCATGCGCATGGATCTCGCAATGTGTCGTCACAAATGACACCAGTGTTCTTCGTATCACCGAAATATCACTGCAGCAAGAGGGAAGAACCTAAATTCTACGGAAGATTGATCGAGAAGCGATTCACGATGTGAATGATGTAGCATTCGTAAGTAACAGCCGGCAAAAGGAAAAGCGGTCACAGAGGGATAATAAGGAAGCGAATATTCGAATCGCGCAAAAAGAAGCGTTGGGTCACGATGTTTCGGTGCTGATGTAGCGTGAAAGCTACGGTTCAGACGATGATCGATGGGAAACAGATAGAAGGATGATGCAGCCCTTACCGCACCGATTCCTTTCTCGTTCTCCAGGGAATCATCCTCGCACCTGGTGCCAGCAGACCGGTAATCCATGTCTTCGGGCCAGTGTCAGCCGGCTGTTAAGAAGACTGTATTACGATCGATCCCGGCGTCCAGCTTGCGAGAAGGTTACGTTCGCCTCTTCTAAATCCGCAACGCCGTCATCCTGCACCGCTGTGCGTGAATATTTTTAACCGTGGGAGGCACGGAGCCGAAAGTGGCGGGCCAGTTTTTTCGGCTCGAACAAACCTTCCCGGTAATCTGTCACCTCTTTCGAATCCAGCAGCACACGTTCGGCTTCCAGTACGCGTTGTGTCGCCAAAAGAGACACGCGCACCGATACCTCTCTCTCGTCCGGCTCTCCCCCTTCGTCCGTCACTCTCTTTCTTGCTTCTTCTTCACCCTCGTGCTCTTTCTTCGTCTCTGTTCGACCTCGCTCGATCACCACCAACCACGAGTACGCGGCTGGCAAAAGCGTGGAATCGATCGACGCAACTGCGCCGGCGTCGCGACGCCACCGCACACCGCCGTGCCACTCGCGTAGACTGCGAACGACTGCTGTCACGAGTGCGCCCGCGCTCGCCTTTCCATGTGTTCCCTATATCTCAAAGTAGTAAGCTGTTTGTCCGCCTCCCTCTGCTCCCTTGTATATACAGCAACGTGCATAACAAGCGGACCGCCATCGTTTTTTATATATGTTTAATACGTTTCTCGCGTGGCAAGGACCTGACGTTTCCAATGCACCACGTTTCCACACGTGCCACCACACCGCCAACACGCTTCTAACTAACAGCTAATTGCATTGCAAGAGAGAACTCTACAGCTAAGATTTGTTAGGCGAGTTTTATCGAATCACGAATTACACGGGGCTGTAATGTAACGAGTTTGGTAATTAAGTTAAGATTCTATAAGCTAGGATTCAACGATTCTAACTCCCATTAAGGGCTGAAGAAACTGTAATGCAACCAATATAATATTGCTCGAATTTGAATTTCTTTAAATTCTCATAAAATCGTAGCAACCAAATGGTGAATAAGAGGAATGATTAATAAATATTAAGCAAGTTCTTGGAACTTTCTTTCATAACGTAAATCGAGTGGAAAAAATTGCAAATGAAGTTGGCCTCAGATTTTTTACTTTAAACGGTTAAAAAAATAAGGAGAATCTTTTTGGTCTCGTCAAAGGTATATATACAATGCTTCGATGTTCAAAAAGCAAGTTTTTTTTTTTTATTTTTCAATTGATTTCTTCTGGATTTATTTCGTGAATTAAATCGTGAAGGAAGTACGTATCCAATTTAAAGAACAGTTTTAAAATTGATTGATAATAAATTTGCTCCTCTCTGAAGAATGGAAAATATAACTTACATCTTCTTCCTCCAGTTGCAAGCTAACTGACGTATATCTCATTTGATATAAAATTGTAAAAATAGTAAGACCTCGTGCAACAATAGTTTATAATCTTCACAACTTCTCACTCGTCAATTCGCAATTCGCAGTTGAAATTATTATATTATAATTTACGAAATTATTGTGCAAGGAAGCCCAGGCTTTACGTTCGAATGATTTAGAAATGGTTACACGTTATATTCTGTCGATTAGGTGAATACCTCTTACGCAATTTTGGGAAATCGTAAGATTAAAGTTTTTTTTTTTTTTTTAATTAGTTTTACTTGTCCGATGATAATTTGATGCCTTTCTAAGTTCCGTCCGTTCTTCTTTCCTCCTTTTTTTTTTCTTCTTGTTTTTCAGTTCAGCTATTCACAACATGTTGATGGTTGCTCTAATGCAATTTGTTTCGTTTTCATTAAAAATCTCATCTATAGATCACATCTTTTATTTTTTATTTTTATATGAATTATTAACATATATAATGTAATATTTTCATTTCAGTTTTCTGAATGAAAATTGAATCGGTTCTAGGAAATGTACAAGTTCACTTTAAATTTCAGACAGGCTCTAACCATTAATTGGTACCTACGCCATACAATGAATTTAAATCCCTATTTTTAAATCAAATATTTAGAATAAGTGCATGTTCTTCTTAGTTTAGGTATCTATAAATGTACTGCTTGTTTTTTTAGCAAGTAGTGCCCTATCTAATGGTAGACTCGTGTTTAAACATATACTCTTTTCAGGCAAATCAGAGCATTGTTATTTTAATAATTATTCTCTATCTCTGCAAAATTGTCATTATCGATAAATTAACTTTTCTTACTAAATTCAAGCAGAACCATAGTGAACCATAGAGAAAATAAATTCTCTAAAATTGAACTTCTCTAAAATTAAAAATATCTTTAAATTCAAATATACACAATTTTTTAATTAACCAAGCTTTATCGTTAAATATCTTATATAATATAATTCTAAGACAGAGTTAAAATAAAATCAGTTTACTTAACAAATTTGATTATTCTTTCAGATGATCGAAATGTATTTTTTTTTTTTTATCGTAAGGAAATATTAAAAAGTCATTATCGATTCCTTACTAAATATTAAAACTATTTTTGTTTTTTTCAATTGGAACTACAACTAGATTAAAAAAAAATTCGGGCGGAAATTAAATATCCAATCTATTTAAAAATTCGACTAATCATTTCTTTCAATTTTAAATCTGACGATTTACGATTGATATTTGCTTACATACACTCGACTGTGGAAAACAGCCGGCGTTAAATAATTGTGTGACTGATTGAAATGATTCGACAGTTTGATTTTACAATCGCGTGCCATTTGTGAAGATGACTGTACAGTCTGTACGTCTCTTTCGTACTCGTTTATGAGTACACGCGTGATTGCACGAACGCGTGCATTTTGACTTATGACGATATTGTGTGTGAAAGCATACACATCACGGAACATGCAACGGGTGGAAAATTAAATGTCAGACGAAGAGTTTGTGCCTGTCACCGTGTAACATATTAAGACGTTGTGTTCTTGATAATTAAGCTGAACTCTTGAATGGTCCATTGAACGTACATACATACATACATCTATTCTCATGTTCATCAATCACGAGATCTTTCATTCATACGAAATAAAGTTATATTGTTGCACGCAGGATATCTGTATCTCAAAATTTTATTGTAACATAAAAATATCAATATTTTAAGTTTTATGATGATAGATAAAAACTTGGAACTTTCTTCTTATATCTTATTTTAAATAAATATTATCTTGTAGTTTTCTATTTTGTAAATGTAATATAATTTTTACTTATCGCTTCGTTAGAAACGAAAAAATAAATTAAGAATTTAATAAATGAACATTTTTAAACAGAAAATAAATAAAATATTTATATCCAAGTTATTTTTGTACTCAAGTAATAAAATGTACAATGATTTTTAATACTGATCAATCGAATTTCAATGTTTGTATTAAAAGAAAAAAATTTTCGTAAGATGACATTTCACTTGAACGAAAGATCCACTGCACCTGAATAATCATTAGAATATTTTATATTCCGCTTTAAAATAAATGTCAACACAGTTCATGGCAGTTTTTTCTTATCTACAAAGAACTACGCATTACTGGCGGTTTCCACTTACATTTCATATTACATATTGATATGTTAGATTGAGGACAGTTCGATCCAATATCTAATTTCTTATAAACTTTGCTTTATCCGTAAGAAATTATTAGAAATTATCGTTCTAACATACTTGCAAGACAATTTACTTAATCTTATCTTTTTTCTATCCTACTTCTACGCTTTACGAAAGCAAATAAATTCCAATTTTTCTAATAAAATCTTATCTTTCTATTGTATAAGTATTTTTTTTTTTTTTTT